AATCAAAAACACCAACTATAAACTCATTCCAATCCTTGTGACGCTATGAATATTTTGTCAAGTCACATTTAATGACCAATGAAATTTGTTTCGTAAGTTTTGTTTTGATGTGTGAAAGCATTATTTGTGTTAGGCTCATTTTTATAATTTACAATTGTGAGTTCTACTTTCTAGTCAAAAGTATCACACCGCAACGATTCACAAAAATTTAGAAAGACATTATTTTGTAATGGTATACAAATCATATTCCATACTCTCACCAATAAATTGATTAAAAACCCCATCTGTGAACTTCATCCCTGTGAGTTTATAAATATTTGATCAAGTGACATTTTACGTTCAATGAATAATTTCCTCTTCACCAACTTAGTTTGCCAGTCTCAAAACTCTTTCCCTCACTTACGCCGCTGAGCTAGTCATTTCCATGCCATCAACTTCTGATCATGTCGCGCAACAGCTGGACCCCGCGTTGATTTAAATTCTCAAAAAGTTTTTCGCCGACAGGGATTTTGGGCTTTTGCGGAATACAAATAATAAATTTCGTCGTGTTTCAGTAACGCCTCTCCGGAAGTTTTCTATAAGAAAGGCTGAGTCGGATCCGTTAACTAGGCCGAGGAAAAATACTGTGAATCTGTCATCTGCAGATGGGATGGACTGTCTGCAACAACATTTTGAAATATGAAATGAAAGAAATCTGCGAGCTCGAAACTTTTGTATCCATTCGAACCATATCGCCTGGAAGTATTATAAAAAGAATAACTTGAAGAACTTTATACTGTCTTTTAGAATGAAGTCCCATATATAACTTTATTACACCCCCTTCAGGAATTTCCACACCATGTTACTTCCAAACTATTTTCTACACATCTGTTCGAAGTACGCTGTGATACGTCATTCAAAACTACTTTCAATTACGATTAGATTAGAGATAATAAAAACTTAGATGAGTACTCATTTTTTAATGACTTCTCTGAACTTGGGTTGAGTGAAATATTTTATATACAAGATATCGACGAAAAGATGGAAATACTTACAAGAAAATTAGTCAGTCTATATAATACGCATTTTCCAGAGAAAAGCGTTAGGATAACTAACAAATATGATCCGTGGTTGACTATCGAAATCAAAGAACTACCTAATGAAAAAAAAAGAGACAAAGCCAAAGTGAAACACAAAAAAAAACAAACACTAGACAACTGCAATGAATTCAAACGTTTAAGAAACCTGACTTATCGCGAAGGGGAGAACCGAAAGCGTGAGTACTTTGATAATGTCTTCTTGAATAGCTCCAGAAAAGAATTATGGAAACAACTTACATCCTTAAACAGTCCTAACGACTCGCACACTGATATAACAAATGTGTTCAAAGATGCAAATACAATACATAATTTCTTTATAGATAACATACCTAAGAACTCAGCAACTACTCCCATAAATACTTTTTACGATAATATTGTCTTATGTGAAAAATAATTCAGTTTCCAACTTAAAGATGAATCTTTAGTGCTCAAATTCCTTAAACGAATAAAAAACAGCTCTGCTAGCTCTGACAACATGAGTATAGCTTTCATGAAAATTTGTTGTACCTACATCTTGCCTTTCTTGGTACATATCTTCATGTATAGCTGATGACATTCAGCTATACCTCCCTTTCGAAGTTGACGACCTGAACAACGCTGCTAGAAAGTTGAACAATGACTTGCCAAACAGCAAGTGCTCAATCCAAAAAAAATCAGTAGCACTAGTATTTGGAAGCAATGCTCATGCATTATTAGTTAAAAATAACTTGAAACTGCACCTGAATAATTAAGTAATCAGAATTGAAAGTAATGCAAAAAATCTTGGTTCAATTTTAGATGAATTGTTAAGATTTAGAGAATATATCAATCGAATTATTCAAAGCGCCTATGGTGCACTAAGATTACTATATCCTCACAAAATGTACCTCAAATTACCTATAAAGAAAATGTTATGCGAGTCTCTAGTTTTATCATAATTCAATTATTGTTCTCCGGTCTATGGACCTTGTCTTGACTACGATACTTGATCCAGAGTACAACGTGTTCAAAACTCTTGTATTCGTTATATAGCGATGGGTAGTCTTGACTGACTAGTTAAGGAGAAATACGGAATAATGTTGGGGATGCAGTCAAAACTGCTGTTGTTCAAAGAATACTCTTTGTTATATGGTCGAGCTTTCGAGAATATCTATTCCATTTATCAAGACATCTACAATAAATTGATAACATTGAAGCAAAATTGTAAAACAATAGATAAAAAGTACTTACTAACTTGAGGTTATAGTAAAAAGTCGAAAGTTTCACTGAGAAACACANACTAACTTGAGGTTATAGTAAAAAGTCGAAAATTTCACTGAGAAACACAAACTTAGTCCTTTTCATTATGTAGAAAAGTGTCACTAATTAAATTTTTATGGTTTAAAGACAAAATATATATAAAACTTATTCAGAATTAACATTTAGAGGATTTGAAATTTTATTTTAACGGCCATGCATGGCACTTACTAGTGGCGTGGTAGCAACTAGAAAGAAAGGAAACAGGAAATATTTGCAAATTGATAATTGACAATTATCAATTTGTGTTTGTGTTTCTCAGTGAAATTTTCGACTTTTTACTATAACCTCAAGTTAATGTCTTGATAAAGGGAATAAACATTCTCGAAAGCTCGATCAGATAACAAAGAGTATTCTTTAAACAACAGCCCAGCAATTTTGACTGCATCCCCAACATTATTCCGTATTTCTATATAATTTAATTTTAGAATATGTTCATATACAAAAGTTACATTTCCTTTATATAAAAAGTACAATTATTAAATATGCATTGCATGAACGATATGTGCCTTGAACTATTCGGTACAACAGTCGAATTTTCTTGTGTTGAAATTATATTTTTTCTGTCATGGACACAACTGCCGTTGATGTACCTGGTCGCAAATCGGGTGTGGGTGTTATTTCAGCACTGCCAAACGTTCTAAACACTTTATTAGCTATTTCTGTCCTGTGCGCTACCGATTCATCAACATACCCTTCAGCGACCGTTGATGACTTCCAACCGCCATGTTTCTGTAGTGTCATCAAGTCTCCCCCAGATTCAACTAAAAGTGTAACAGACGATCTTTGAAATGAATGACCTGTATATGAATTGGCATTTTCAAGTTGATGAAAATTAGTCACTGCTTCAGGTACCTTATAAAACTGATTGCTACCCACAACCTGATTGATACATTTTCCATTGCGATATGCATAAAACAGGCGGCGATCCTTTGCTGCTGCCGGACGAAGGGCTATGTACATTTGGTAAAATTTAATATATTCTTCAGTAACTACAAATCTCTTGTTTACATCATTCTTTGTTTGCTTGAGTTTCACAATTAATAACGTTCCCGAATCTTCAATATCATCTAATGTTACCTGGCTGATTTCACAAATTCGACAAGCTCCTGCAATCCCAAATACAACAACCTTGGCCATTAAATAAACTTCATCAGGAGCATTATTTAAAAAGTCACTAATATGTGTACTCGTAAATATCGCAGCTTTCTTGGGTGTGTAACCTTTCCCATTTACCAACAGAGGTTCAGATCTCTTATCATTAACTAATACAGACCGGGTGCGATCTGACAAATAAGAATGAAACCATTTCAACGCTACATCTCTGAAACCATACATTTCCAATTTATTCAAGAGAATTTTGTGATTTACGCAGTCGAATGCCTTAGCAAGGTCACAAAACACAACAGCAACTACTTCACCCTCATTGATACTGAAATATATTTTTTCTAGAACTGAGAACATAGCATCATTGGTGCTCCTTGATTCTTGAAAACCAAATTGGCAATTACTAAGTGAGTGGTTAGTATTGAGAAATGAGATCATTCTTTTCTTCACCAATTTTTCTATAAGCTTTGCAAGAGTTGGCAAAAGTGAAATGGGTCTAAGGTTTGTAACCAATGTGTGAATGATGTGAAATGGGTCTAAGGTTTGTAACCAATGTGTGACTGATGTGTCATCTGCGAACTGGTATACACTACCAAGATTCAAGGCTTTGGGTAAGTCGTTCACATATAGAAGGAAGAGTATTGGTCCAAGGATGGAGCCCTGAGGTACACCCTGCCTAATCATAATTCTACTAGATATATAATGGTTCTCTGCGTTCATTATGCTAACAACTTGGGATCTATTTGATAGCTATGATCTAACGAGTTCATAACCCACACCCCTTATACCATACTTTTCCAGCTTATTTAGGAGTTTTTCGTGGTTTACCATATCAAAGGCCTTTGAGAGGTCATAGTACAAGCCGACCGAGGTTTTTTGGCTATCAGCATTCTCTGTTGTTTTACCGCATTAAATATCGCCAGTTCGGTAGACATTCCTTGGCTGAAACCAAATTGGTGGGAGTTCAGAATATTATTCGAGTTTATAAAAGAGATGAGCCTATTATAAATTACGCGTTCAAATATCTTACCAGGTGATGGAAGTAAAGATATTGGTCGGTAGTTATTAATGTTGTTCTTGCAACCTTTCTTGTAGACTGGAACTACTTTAGCTATTTTAAAATCATCTGGATAAGTACCAGTTGATAGGCTTTCATTGATTATGTTCGCCAAGGGTTCATATATGTACTCTGAAATTTTTTTTTATTATTGGATTTTAACATACTTTTAATCATTGAATAATTCGACCACACGTTGATGGCTTTTGTTGTTGTGCCAGTAATCAATATTAAATCGTCGTTTTCCCGTCACAAAAAAAATTGTGTATTATAAACTGGAAAAATTAGATTTTAGCTCTCGAGTTAAAATCTAATACTTTTTTCCCTTGTATAATAAATAACTATTCCTATTTTGTAAATAGACATGAGTAAAGACTTTGAAATTAATTTTTCAGTTTTGGAGTGAAGAAATGATATGTTATTCAATGATCAGACATTTTCTAAGGTACAACAAACCACCCCTGACCAAAAAAACAATTTAAAAAACTTGAAATAGTCTTTATTTCATATATAGAACATATACAAAAGAAAAGTAACACTGCGGTCAAAATGTATAGTAATAAGCACCTAGTGCTAATATCAGAAACAAAAATACAAATGTATTATGAGAAACTACGTATTTTTGGTTCAAATAAGATCTCAATGATCAATTTTATGAGCCTTGAATAGATTCTGATCTCCCTCGGAGACAAATCGTTTACGCCCACGAGAAGGCAATCTCTTCAAAATGTTTTCAGTAAGAAAACCTGCGTTATGGCAACGTTCCACAAAACGATCCAGTATAATATAAGCCAAAGGGACATCCATGTATATATCCGGAAGGTCGTCAAATACTCTAAAGAAGCCACGTTCCATTTGATCTATGGTTACAAGAACAGCGTCAGAGAAGCTCTTCAGTAAGGTGCAAAGAGCCTCCTCTTTAGAAAGGCTGTTTGCTTCCAAAGCCATCACAATGGCTTCGTAGACCAATTCATGATGGAAATGGGGAACCTCCAGCAATCTCAAACAACGACTTGCCTCATTTAAGTCTCCGGACGATAAGAATTCTTGAAGTAGTAACGACATTTGACGGGTGAGAGCTTTAACAGGTCTCAATGCTCCTCCTGAAAACACGAGGCATTTTAGTTTCGCACCATAAACAAATTGTTTTCCCTACTATTGAAATCAGAAAGCATAAATCTGAATCATGAGTAGGACCTGTGAGTTCCCTCAGGGATCGATTCTGGGCCCGCTTATGTTTTTGTTATTAGTAAAAGATCTACCATATTAGTTCAGATCTGTAGTTCTTTATGCAGACGATACTACATTGGCAACTGATTCAGATAGTCCTGAGACGTACAAAAAAAACTCAATGTGTTGCAGAGGAATTCATGACTTGGTGTGAAAGAAGTTTCATGATAGTGAATGCACAAGTTTCGACTACTGAGGGTTGTCGTTTGTAGGGGTGCGATAGCTGGTTAACGGAAAAACAGATTTTAAAACAGATAGTGAAAGGAGTTGAAAAAATAGTATTGATGTTATAAGCAAAAAAATTAACAAGATTATTATGCTATACTGCAATTAAAAATTATGTTTAATACCAATCAACTCATCAATGTATATTATGTTCTAATCTACACCCGCATATCATATAAGATCAACGTCTGGAGATGCTCCAATATCTAAAGCAGAATATTTATTTCCAAAAAAGAATTATTCGACTCATTTTCAGTCTGAAACCAGATGAATTGTGTCGAACCAATAAAATTTTACCAATGTATGTTATTTAGGCAACATATCGACCAGTTTCTCAGTGCCATGATTACTCAACAAGAAATGGAGATCTCATCAGAATTCCTGCACACAGCTCATCATTTTATGAAAAAAGCCCCTCATATATAGGTAAAAAGTATTTCAATCATCTTCCCGAAAACCTGAGAGAGCTACAGAATAAAAACTTCCTTCAGATCAAAATTGAAAGGATATTTGCAAGATAAATGTTAGGAATCACACGTTGAAAGGTAAGACCTCGTTAATCCTTAGCTCGTACAAGTTTCGACTTCTGAGGGTTGTCGTTCGTAGGGGTGCAAGAGCTTAACGGAAAAACAGATTTTTAAACTAGAGTATAAAAGAATTTCTTGATACAAAATGAAGATGTGTTTCCTTGTGTGTATCAATATAAATTGAATAAATGTTTCTGTATATGTGTAAAAATCTGTTGAATAGTGATATTTCTATTTTGTTTGTTGTTAATGTGTCTACCATCTCATGGTTTTTATTTGTGACATATCCTATAACATACTGAAAGGATTATTATTATTATTATTTGTAAAAAGGTGATCTTCATATGAATATCATACTCCATTATTGAATGTTGAGGATTTCTCCAGTTCAGTGCCAAATGCATATTTTGGAATCAAAGAAATCAAAAACAACATGAAAATGATAATATAAAACTTGAAAATAACAAAAAAAAGGGTGACAAAAAATCCCTGACCTCAAAAACTATTGAATGATAAATTGATCAAGTGGTATAAATTCAGATCAATATTTACAAGTAATGAAAAATTTCTGTCAAGTGTAATAATGGAAGATTATTTTTCAGCAAATAACCACAATGGAACCGTTGCAGTAAACTATAAATAACTTGTTATCTCTGTTGGTAAATTATTGTTGGTATGATAACAATTTCTCGATAAACTTATCAATACTGATAGTAACAATGTTTTTATTCAATAACAGCAATAAGAAATCATTAAATGAAATGTTCCGCTTACCTACACCCCACACATTATGCAACCGTACCAGTCCATGCTTCATTGAGAGCAAAGTATCGGCATGAATGAGAGCTTCTTGAAAGTCTTTATCATCACTTTTCTCCTTCGTTGTTACTATAAATTTTGGGGGAATGCAATCATCAGCTATAGCTCTAGCAATAAAATTACCCAATACTGTAGGTGCATCGGGAATGTCCAGAATTAACTCATTCAAATTTGCAAGTAAGCTTTCAAATGCCTTGCAAATGTCAGACTCATTAATGGTATGTGGAAAAAGGTCTGAAATGAGAACCGATGTCATTTCTCGATGGGATGGCTTATGGTCCATGGCAATTTCAATGAACTGCTCTACAAGAGCATCTCTTCGATTCAAGGAAATCTGTTCCTCAATCGATAAAACAGCTTCATGAGTGTCTCCAGTATCAAAATATTCCAAGACGATCGGTTCAACCTTCTTTCTAATTTCCTCGTCTGAAACCTCAGGTATGATGGCCTTCAGTTCTATGTCACCGTTACTCATATTTTCATTATCAAAATTTGGGTCATTGATATCTTCATATGTTTCCAAAAGCTCAGAACCAGGAGCACCCCATACCCCTTTGCCTCCTGCACCCCCTTTTTTTGGCAGACCTCGGCCATGTCCAGTTCGGGACCTACGACTATTTTTCCAAGACCTAGGTCCTTGGACAAACCCGGTGGATACTACATTTTCCTTGGAATTTTGCCTGGTCACTTTTTTTGGCTTACGCTTGAGGAGAGCCTCGCTTGCTGTTGCATTTTCCTTAGCAGCTAGCTCATTTTCTTCTTTATCTACGTCAATATCTTTAATTACTTCAATATCAATATCGATATCACCTTTGTCTGCAGACATGTTTGCTAACAAACAAAAATGAATATATTTCTATTCAGATTTTTCAGATTGATTGTCAAGTCAAAGTGAAATCTGAAAAAGAAAGAAGGAAATACATTATATGCTTGTCAATTTGGTACATTCTGGTCCATATATACCCTTTCTCAAATATAATTTCAATAACTATTAAACCGAAAATATTTCAAAGATTACATGCTACATAACAATGAAATATATGATATTGATTGGAATAATTTCAATATGGACAAAAACATATGGTTCATCGAAAAAAGCGGCGAAAGTATTCCGAAATAAACTTTAATCTCAATAAATCTCAGTTAACTCCATCATGTACTGGGATCTAATTTATTTTGTGTCGAGATTCATATTCCTCCAACTGAATTCAATATGTTAAATCTAATAACAGTGTATCCAGTTCAAGATAAAATATTTAAATATAGAATGTCCTTAGTTCCCAATTTACACTAACTATAGAAACACGCCTGAAGAAGCTACTGTATAAGGAAACACGTGTTTATTGAAAATCTCACAATAATGTGTTTCTTGAATGAAGTTATTATTAATAGAATACTCTAATATATATTTGGAAGAGATGTAGACACTAACAGATGATAAACTCGGAAAGCAGTGTTTCACGGGTTTTCTAACATGATAAATATTCGTTTCTCAAGAAATAACTTGATTTATAAAAATAGTAAAAGCTATGTTGGTGGGACCATAACCTGTTATTTCTAAACATTCTATTGTAATACAATTTCAAAAACGTTGATGTCGATGATTTTTATGATGCGACAGAATTCAGTTTCAGCAAAATATAAACAGAAATGTATCAAGTTTTAACATCTGCAAAATTAGCAGTTTTATAATAATTTTGGTAACACGTCATGCTACCTACGTGACTACTTATCATACGGAATATCGGGATAATCATGAATAATATTAGCATAAGCACGATTAGAATATTCCACAATTAGAAAAAAAATCAAAACAAAAACACAATTATAGTAAATACATCAACACCGAAGATTCCAGAACACCGCAAGTTTACCGTTTTCCATCTCGGGACGTAAACAATAACAATCCAGCTGGTTATGTATTGGGTGGAAGAAAATAAGACGTTTGACGAAAAGCTTTGAATGGAAAGAAAGCATTTCACTTACCTGTTAACTTTTATCAAAAGTTCAATTAGATAAAATCGAAATAAAATCTGTTTGAAAACAAGAAATCTCTTTTACGCAACACGCCACAAACAATCCGCCATAAACTCATAAACTATGAAGTATTTTACTTCACATCAGTTGTCTACTACGTTCGCCATCCTCCTCTCACAAATGCTTGTTGTCGAAATAAAATGAAACAGAAAGTGGTAAGGCTAGCTTTGAAACGTATTGACTCGATCATTGGAGGCGATCCAAATAAAAAGTAAAAACTTTACTGAACGCATGAAAACAAACCGTACACACCTTTTTGGGTAACCTTCGCGAAAAAATACGATTTCATCAGGGTTGGCTCCGGCCCTAAATCACTATATTGAAATATTAGCATCAAACAATTTTAACAAAAGCTCAAACAAAACTCTGGCCCAGTATTAAGTTAAAAATGAATAATGAAATAAACTCATGATCACAATTTTTTAATGGGAAAATTTCTACTGATGATAGCGTTGAGTTGGTGTGTTCAGGGAATGGTGACATCAAACGATAAACAGCTGAACGCAAACACTCTGAAACATGAGTTATGTTTATTGTATTGAGCTTTACTGTATTTTAAGATGTTTAATCACGAATTTGTAAGTTTATCTAGCCATGAAAAACCGAAACAGAAATAAAATGAATGACTTTTGCTAACGGTAAGCACGATTATTTGTGAAAACAGTCGAAAGGAATTTGCTATTGTTTTATCGTTTGACTTAGTTCCAATATTTCCGATAGACGTAAAGATGGAAGCGTTTTCTTTTGGGAAAAAATGTGAACATTTTGTGTATAGATATGTCCTTCATTTTTAAATACTTACAAATACATTGAATGTAAGCTGGTTTTATTAATAGAAAACGTATTATTCAAGTGAAATATTTCAAAATTAACTTTTTCAACTCTTTTAATGAACTTCAAGTCGAGTGTAAATGATCATGGATTAGTGAAAATGTGTTTACGCACCATTTGAAATTTAATTATTTGTAGTTATCATTTAAGTACCTAAAGCATTTGTAGTGTTTATTTTATTTCAAGTAAATCAAGAAGCACTGAATTTAAATAACGGTAGGTAATAGCTGATTCACACACTAAATACGTTATTATCTTCTGATTTAAGAAAATTTTCATAATGAATCAATGAAAAGCGTTAAAAAAATAATTTTACGTTATAATATGTTTAAAATCTGTTTTTCCGTTAATCAGCTGTCACCCCCATACGAACGACAACTCTCAGGAGTTGAGAAACTTGGGGGAGCTAAGGACCAACGAGGTCTTACCTTATTAATTTTACGTTATAATCTGTTTTTCCGTTAATCAGCTGTCGCCCCCATACGAACGACAACTCTCAGAAGTTGAGAAACTTGGCGAGATAAGGATTAACGAGGTCTTACCTTTCAACGTGTGATTCCTAACACGGTTGCAGAATCATTCCAGCTTCAACCAGATAAATTCTCTCGAGAAAAAATGAATGCTACTATTGATTTTCATTGTAACAGCTTTCTCGAAGTAAAAAATGAAGTGAATGTTTGGTGTAGGAATCAGCCATAAATTATGTGAATCGCAGACTTTTATTCTCAGAACTATTTAAGATATAGGCAGCGCACGCCAAGATAGCTCTCGGGAAACAAGAATTTTTCCGACTTACTGAATACTTATCGTTATATTACAACCAAAATTATACCTAACCTTTGTAAATTGTAGCCTATATGTTATACTGATGTATAAGAAGTGTTCATGTAGTTTCATCTGAATCAGTTCAGTCGTTTAGGCGTGAAAGAGTCCCAAACATCGTTACAAACTTCAACATTTATATTAGTATAGATTTATTTAAGAAAATGTTTCCTTTCTCAAATTTTTATTCCTCATCAACTGCAGCTATAAGAATTAGTTTATTTTTAACACTGCAAAGACTTCCTTAAATATCACTAATGAAACACATTCATTTGTAATTGTTTTATTTCTGCAGATGGAAAATAGTTTTATAATAATTTATAAAATATAGAGCAGGATGTGCAACATATCCATATAAAATATAAATAGAAGATATAGATAGACAAAATACATTTCATAGAAAAAACCTGTATATGTTACAAAGTAGAAAGTACACAATTATAGAGATTGTAATTTTACTCAAATCAATATTCCAAATACTTTTGTTTCGAGTGAGATAAAGTTCCATTTCAAATATCAACAGTTTCTACAATAGATTTTCAAAGAGTCCCGTTTGAAATGGCCTATCAATAAAAAACAAGGCTTCAATACATTATACAAATAAATAGTAGATTTTCATAATAATTGTGATCGACTACATAAAGCCAGCAAGTTTGATTCGAAAATCAGTCGTGTGAAAATTGAAACTTTCAAAACCCTCATTGAAACAGAAGTATTTAGTAATCTAACCAATGAGTGAGCCGTTATAATTCATTTCTTGAATACCTTGGCTCTAGAAGCAGCATTTGGACCCAGTGAGAGTAAAATAATTTGACATCTGATATTTCTAAAACACTGATTGTCTAATTTAAAGGAGACATGCGTATATTTCATGACTATGCCTACCATAGATGATAATTTTACAAGTAGTTGTAGATATTGAGTACAGTTGATGTGAAATATTATATTGTTATGTTTCATCACAACTTCAGTGACACTCATGATGAAGATATGTACAGAGTGATCTGAAATTAAGATGGGTTCTAAAACTAGAAGCTTCAGTAGAAGGCAAAATCAGATTAGCATGTGAATTTAACTGACGCAATATGTTATTTGAAAGATTATTATGGTGAACACAACCACACTTATTGTATATGACAAGTGCAAAGTAATTGACACCCAATGTTCAATCAAGAATCTTTTTTCAGCTGCCTTGTATATGATTATGCCTTTTTAATGTATTAACTCATACTCTGGAAAATATATTCAGATCACACAGAAGCGGAAGTGTAATATTACTAAATTTTAAGTTTATGATAGTAATCATTGATTCATAAGAGAGTAGACACAAAATTTTACAGCTATTTATGAGGATCCCGAGACTTCTCTGGAAATTGACTTTCACGACATAAGGCTCATTGTGCTATCTCAATGTTGCATTTAGTTTAAATGGAATGTTTCTCAATCAACACAGCCTGATAGTGATTGCTTTTACAATCTTCTACATAGTCACAACTCCTAGCTAAATGAAAACAGTGTAAAAGATAATTATGCGTTAGCATAATCACAGTATGTACGTATCATCATATAACCACTTTTTGTCTCCTCCACGTCTCTTATTCAGGAGAGCGAAAGATTTTCCAAGCAAATCAAAACCTCAATTAAATCAATTGACAGCAGTTGAAATGCAATCTGTGAAAACTTGTTAAAAGAACACATAAATTTACTTAAAACATTTTCTTCTTCACAGCAGTATATCTTTCCATATAAGAATCATACCCCGCAATACTAGCAAGCTGTTTACTTTCGAATAAGTTACCATCAATGGAAAAATTGGAAATCTTGGAATCTGCCAAAATTCTTGGTGGTATCGCAGACAACTGCAAACAGTTTTCTTCCAATCTCAGGGTTTTCAGTCTTGGGCAATCCGCTATTTGTCCTGAAATATGAGCTACCTGGTTCTGGTTCAAGTTTAATTCTGTTACATTTAAACCAGACACTTCGAGAGGTATTGAGGTGATTTCATTTTTTGTCAAGTCTAATACATCAAGATGTTTCAAGCCACAGAACATCAGGGGAAAATCTTTAATATGATTATCTGTCAAGTTCACCTGTTTCAAATTGATGAGATTAGAAATCGTTCTGGGCAATGTGCTCAAATTGTTGTAACTAGCATTAAGGGTTTCTAGCTTTGTAAGAGCACCTATGCAATCCGGGATCTTTGATAATCTATTTTTGCTTAAATTCAAATGTCTCAGTTGCATGAACCTGCTAATTTCATTTGGTAGAGTTACAAATTTGTTATCAGATATGTCCAAGGTCCGAAGAGATGACTCCAGTTGTTTGAACCCTGGCGGAAACTCGTTCAATTTGCCTTGGGACACTTTGAGCACTCCCGTCTTTTGAGCAGTTTCTATATGTTGTTTCAGACCTGAATTACCCATGTTTAGGAGACTGTTTCTGTTATCTGCATCAGCTGATATTGATAAAAATTGCTCATTAAACTATGATTGTTGATAAGATAGTAAACTGATAGTCATTTACCTTTGCATTATGTCCGTTCAGTTCATTGTGAATCAAATGGAACTTAACAACAAAAATGTTATTTTGTAAAAATAAAGTTACCTCTACTCTCTACTACTTCGGCAAGTGACTTGTGGTTGTGACATGTGACGTACAATATGACATTGGGCATGTTGACATTATATGATACAGAGTCGTGAAGCAAAACATAATGTTTCTTCTACAATCTCGTTTATCAAATGCCAGATCTAAGAAATCTGAAATATTGCTCAAGAACAACGAACATCTCGAATTAGAAATAGATCATCACAATGAAATCTTCAAAAGTAAGTATTTCATATTCATTTTTAAACATTCAAGGGTTCAAAGCAAGATGCCAGCGCCTTGGTGGCGAAAGTACAAAACACAGATGTCTACATTGGATCTAGGTTATACAATCATTTCTATTGCATTTTTTCTTGATGAATGTTTTAGGAATTTATGGAAGTAATTTGGGTTTATGTAGTTCGTGTAAATACTTTTCTTTGGTATCTTGTTTACCAACATCTTAGTGTTCAGCGAATAATCAGGAGAAAAATTTCTTCTTCGCAAAATACCAAGGCAAACACAAAATATCCCAAAAATTCCAATAGTGAAAAATTTATCTGAAAACTTAGCCTTACTACCTAGTGGCCTTTCCAAATGAGAATACTGTTGAAAAATATTTATCCCCGTACAGAAAACTAAGACACCACTAGATATAAAATCTAACATAGTTGACAAGTTGAACCGTGGGCTATTCTATGTGGGCCAAACTAGTCGTTATATAAAAAAAACATTTTTGAGACACATAAGACACTCAATATCAAAAAGGGATGTGTTTGGCCTCAATACTGCATATTTCAACCATTTCCCTTTGTTCTATGTCATTGTGTTGTGTTAAAAATAGAATAAAGTGCTCAAAAACACTTGAGATGTTTTCAGTGGCATACGGTGATTGTACTCTGAATCAGAAAAATGTAGTACAAGCTTCACCCAAGCTTCGTGAAGCCTTGGAAACCAGCACACCAACAACCGATGAAAATGTTGAGAAAATGAAAAAATGTTATGTAGAGTCGTCGAATCACTATTTAAGAAATTGCTGAGGATGTCGATATATCGGTTGGCCCATGCTATGCACACGATTTTAAACAAAGCACCAATTGTTGTGGAATTGGCCGCGGTGGTAGTGCACTCGACTCACGATCGGAAGATCGTGGGTTCAATTCCTGCCTCGACCAGATATTTTTCTCGAGAGAATTCATCTGGTTGAAGCTGGGATGATTCTGCAACCGTGTTAGGAATCACACGTTAAAAGGTAAGACCTCGTTAGTCCTTAGCTCGCACAAGTTTCTCAACTTCTGAGAGTTGTTGTTCTTATGGGGGCGACAGCTGATTAACGGAAAAACAGATTTTAAACAGATTAACACACAAGCGCGTTCTAGTGCTAAGATATAATAATGAGTTCTGTGATTCCTATACTTCAGACACAGAACACCCTAACTACATTCAGAATTCAATAACTTGCCTAACTTTTACTTGGCAATACTGCTAATGAATGTGGCTGCGTTGCCGGTGGAGTTATCGATCGATATGCCGGATCTGTCAGTGTCACAGATGGCACTATCGGTGGTTTTCCTTGTAACTTTTTCATATTTTTTCTGGTACGATGAAAAACTAAACAGATCGGAGATTTCGAGAAGTCGGAACTGAATGTGTATATTTTGTGACAATGTAGCGGGTGATACGAAGACAGTCAATGCTTTTGATGGATTAATTTGAGAATGACATCCACACCAAAGTCGGGGAAATATGTCCAAGGTAGGCAGTAAATATTTTGTAATCCAATGTCACTGCCAATTTTATTGAATTGTTTTGTAGTATATTTCATAAAGAGCCATGGGTCTAGCATTTTGAAAATGATTACTACACTGTTTTCATTCAGGTTTATTTCATTTAGAAATGAAGTAGGTCATTCGGCTTTTTTTGTTTATTTTGGTTACTCAATAAGGAACTGAGAGCTGTTGGTGATAATCCAAAGTGTTATTGGTCCAATTCTTTGTATGAACTTATTATTCAAATTGTACATATTGAACTATCCGGAAAAATTGGTGCACTATAAAGCAATTTTTGAGATATTCTGCCTTTGATCTCAACCATGAAAATGAAAGAACATCAGGAAAAGTATCACCTTAACTACTAATCCATTCCAAAGATACCATCGATTTAGACGAAATAGGAATTGGAATCGAAGAGCCTTGAAACATCACCTACCTACAAGTTATGTTCCTTAGAAAGGAAGATTCCGAGTATATAATAATTTTTATTGCTATTGTCATTAATAAACATTCAGTTTAATACAATTTCATCTGCAGTTCATTAATTTATTTTATATATAGCAGCAAATACTAATATTTGGTCACAGGCAATTCAAACAATTTATTTGTCAGAATACATTTACAATTTTAGTTTTCCAGGTGTATTTTATGTGTTGAAATAGAAATTAAAAAAAAATGAAATTATATTGAGTATAGGATTTTTTTCATGAGTTTATATTATAAGGTGCTGTTCCTAATTGTTATTGGCAAAACATTTCAATTAGGAATTTGCCCATTTGAGAATGAATTTGAGATTTATAATTTTTTGATATATATTGAAAAGTCATTAAAGCCGTTAAAAAGATTTAATCATACGTATGTTTGAAGAGTTTATTGTATAAGTTTGAGAATGTCTATATAGGACGAAACTGCAGTAACGTTAGTTACAATTAAAAGTGGTAAAAAACATAGAAATTTTTCATTTCTCTTTTCATTATGATCTCCTACCACGTAGTAACGGCTACATCCATTAATTTATCCAAATAAATCAGTTTCAATTATTGAAGCAAATGAAAATTTCACTAATCAATGTATGGATTTAAAAACAAATAATTTCCAGAAGAAATAAATATAACCATACCAAACTGACTGTTTTTGAAATCATATGACCCAAAAAAAATACGATGTAATTATCTCAATCAAAAAACAAAAAATCAGTAGGAGATGATGAGATACCTATAAAAGTACTGAAATATGTAACTGAGCAGATCTCTTTAAAAATCTGTTTTTCCGTTAATCAGCTGTACCCCCATACGAACGACAACTCTCAGAAGTTGAGAAACTTGTGCGAGGTCTTACCTTTTAACGTGTGATTCCTGCTCAGGTACATAATAAACCTGATGTTGACCAAAGGAAATTTCCCAGATAAGTTAAAGATTGCTGCAATCAGAGCCATTTATAAAAAAGGAAAATAATCAAATTGGCAAAACTATCATCCAATAGCTTTGTTATCAAATATCAGTAAGGTATTTGAAAAAGTAATATGTTCAAGAATTGTGAATTTTGTTCAAAGTCACAAACTGATTTCAGATTATCAAAATGGTTTTGAAAAGGTAAATCCAAAGTACTAGGTTTATATAATGAACTTACTGTGATATAGAACTCGCTAAACAATAAAAATGAAACTATAACAAACAATATGCATAGATCTATCCAAGGCCTTTGATAGGGTTGATATTTCGGAATAAGAGGAGTTTATTTGGAACTGAAACTCTTACATAANATATTGAAGTAGTTAACCCTGTTTATCGCCTCGAAAGGTCAAAAACCAATTCGGTCGGATTAATTTAAGAAAAGTTGTGTTTTAATTGAGTGAGCTGCCTTAAGACAGAGTTCAATTAATTTGTGGACTATGCATCGTAGTGAATTTATTTGTGAACCAAGAGGTCGAACCAGAAAATATCGGATACATGGGAGGTGCTTGGATCACAGATGCTCTAGGCAGTGGACTGTATTATTGTCGGTAACGCAGTTGGAGGATGTGCCAGGTAATGATAATTGGAATTTGTTTTATTGTAACTGTCACCCAGCTAGTTAGGCGGTGAGACAGCCAATCAGAGTGTACCAAATTGTCACGTTATGTCCTCAAACTGTCACCCAGCTCGCCAGCCAATCAGAGCGTACACTTCTGCATCTCAGAACACCGTGATTACCCAGGCGGGAGATTTGAATTTTCTGTGGACATAAATAATTCGAGCAGATAGACCACCCAGACAACCAGGATCAGGCGTATCCCTTAAAGAGACAGACCACCCAGTCACGTGGTGCGCTTACGTCAGCCCATCAGCCATGACGCCATAAAAAAGTTTTCGTTGGAGAATTGAACGCAGGTGTTGATATGATAGATACTTGACCGTTAGCTTGGACACCACCGTTAGCTTGCAAACGGTTGATAGTGATGGTTTCGCTTTGGTCATTGCTTTTCGTCATCAAAACGTTTGAGTTGTAATTGTTTAGTTAATGAAAGGTATTGAGAGAACAACTATGACAGAGCTGGAGTGGACGTGACTTATGAGTGTTAGCGGTGGCGTTTTCGCTGTTTGAGAGATAACGAGTCGGGCGCGCTTGGAATGATATGAGAACAAAATTGGGTATGCAGGGTGTTGTTTTACAACACATCAATCAAATGCTACATACGGTGTGTGTGCAACGTTAAAAAAACATAGTTGCCAGCATCAACAGAAATAGCACATTTGCTCATTCGTTTTACTAGAGAGAAAACTGAAGTAGCCATTTTAATTCATACACTAAGTATAAGTTACTAATATCACTGATTGATACGCAGGTAATGAAGTATCTAATTAAAGCACTATTAGATCGGTTAGAATCATGACGTAATCCTCTTTTCCAGCGAAAATTAAAAATATATCATTTATGCCTGATCTGAACAGGTAAGCTGTGCAGGTATGTGATACATTGAAAACGTGCTAAAGTATTGAACATTTCAATCCAAATTCAAAAGTAAAAACAATATTGGTTGTTCAGTTGAAAAAACTATCAATTGGTAATACGACCATATTCTTGCTACTCGCCGTATACATACAACTATAGGAAGTATTGTTACGTGGGTTGACCAATAATTGACTGCACTGAATATTCATCAAACTTAACTTCATTCTACTTTAAATACAACAAACACTTCAACTAATACTTCAACTATTATTCGAATGTCTATCGCCTTACTAGATCACTTCGCGTACCGCACTGTAACTTCCACTTGACTGTGTCGATATGCTCGTGGCTAGCGTTTATATATCGTAGTCGAATGCGGTAGAACATTTCGCCGGAATTCCATCGAAATCGGTAGCATTATTGTCGCTGCATCTAGAGCGGCAGCGAACATCGATCATTCGCGCGCTCTTAGTTACGTCACAATTAGCTTATGACTACCAGTGACGGCCATCGTTACTTTCTTTAGGGCATGATTTACAACAGTATTTTGAAGTTTGCTATATCATATTAAAAAAATAGACTAATGTCTACATCTCCTGAAAGCGCTTAATTGGTTGGTGAAACACGCGTCGAGAATAATGTTGCAGTTTTGATGTTTAGAAACACTATTTCAGAGTTTCGTTATCCCCTTTTTTCTCATTTCAACTCATTTCATGATAAATGATTAGAATAGTTGATTGAAAGTGCATCTCTGGCAGTATTTTTATTTTCTAATAATCTAGTTATCAGTATACTATATTCGGTGGAGAGTAAAAAAAAACGCTTGTAATTTTTGTTACTGATTCATCAGTATTCACCAAAGTTTGTGGGAATAACCACCCGGTGGGATCCTGTGCGTCGACGGTGCCACTTCCGGACTATAACCCAAGCCAAGCAATGGATTGCCATCTGAAACAATATACAGTATCAATTACAAAGAGAAACAGATCTATCTTCTGCAATATGTCTACTTATTCACTCAGAATAAGTACCAATTCCAAAATTGATGATAGTATAGAAGATAAGAACAGTGATTATTTTGGTTGTTCTATGAGTCGGCAACAATTTAACCAACAGAGTTCGTATACTAATGCACAATGGCAGTAAGCAAAGGTCGACTCCAATGACCCATTTAACAAAGTTGTTTTGGAAAAAAGCAAGTTTGACGAACATCAGTGGAAAGTTTGTGTTGGGGTACAGGGGTACAAAGTACCCCTGTTTCTTATGTATCTGGGATATCGGGGCTAGAAATGATCGCTGTAGCAGAAGAGACTGGACAATGCAGGGGTCCATGGCACTTGGAAAAAAGAACATGGGATAACAGAGCTAGAGATGAATACTGAAGCAGTCACTCCCATCATTAGGGTAGATGAAGGGTTCTGTTGAGTTCTGTATGAGGAGTAAATAGACTCGAGTAGTGTAGCTATGGGCATACGACAGAATTCAAGGTCAAGCTCTGAAAATCTTATATTTGATATTATGATAAATGTATCTCCTATGATTTGGATTCAAAACATCACAATGACCATCCCAGCAAATTTTTGATATGATATTATGAATGTGCCAAAATTGGGGACCCGACACATCACGGAGCATTCGTTACCGAATCTTGTTAATACTTTTCGGTCAAATTTCCTGTTTCGTTAGAATTATATAAGATTGTACTGCCTTAGGATTATCAGGAACAAAGTAATGTAGCATGAAAATTTACAATATAGAATAAATTCCATAAACAATTCTTATGATGCATTCAAACCACATTTTGGGTTCATAGCCGTGTCTTCTTTTATTATAGACTCCCCACTTCTACGAACAATGGGTTAGGATCTCTGTACTGAGGTACGGGGTCCACCTCATCTTTGTTGATGCATAATAGCGTATCAAAAATTTGCTAAGATGTCAGCCGTGTGGTGTTGGACCCCACGATTTCAATAAATTCTCAATAACGTATCAAAAAAAATTGGCTGAGATGATGTGTGGGGTCCCCAGTTTTGGCACATTCATAATAGCGTATCAAAAATTTGCTGGAATGTTCACCGTGATGTTTTGACAGGAGATATATTTATCATAATATCAAATATAAGATTTACAGTGCTTGACCTTGAATTCCGTCCTATGCCCATATGCTCATAGCTACACTACTGACTCAGTAATGAAAAAAATGAAGGCAGACATTTTTGATGGCCCACGGATACGAGAGCTCATTGAGGAGTCCAATTTTGAAAAATCCATCAACATATTTGAATGAAACTATAATGAGCTGGTGAACAATATCCTTACAAGCTTCAAAAATTTGGGTTGCAATATGAGTGTGTAAGTGCATTACTTGCATATCCACTTGAACCGCTTACAATCTGAATTCATCAGGACATCGAAATTTTGTATTGAAATGAGTGACCTTTCCCAGTTACAAGTGTCCCAAAATAAATTTTTAAGAATCCTGTTGAACAAACATCGAATGTACCCCACAGAATTACTATTTTCTGAAACAAATCTTCTTGACATTCGACAGCTGTTATATATGCAGGTCAACATATGGCAATACGCAAACAGATTCAAATTACAACGTATCATTCATACTTATGAAACAAGAAATAAGGATAGATGTGTTGCACCTACTATGAGAAGAAATATCGGACAAAGGAGTTATTCATACCTGGGAGTGAAATTTTATAACATAGAAGAAGTATTTGAGTCGCATACACTTACGCGATTTAATGTTGAATTCAATTCACTGACAAACCTACCGTCGTACGTTCAGACTCCCAAGCAAAACAATCTATGTGTTTATCAGAAATAATTACCTTCCTAGAGGGTGATCCGTTGATGGAAAAAATCGAAGAAGCCACGCTAGTTTGTTCTTTCAAAGAGAAAATGTCGCTTTGATTTCTCGGGATACGCTCGCTCTGGTTGAGACCGCTTGCTGCAGAACCCGCTCGTAATTTTCTCTCTATCGTGGTGGGCAAGGGTTGTTCGATGTTTTTAATTTTCGTATCATCGCTTACCGACTGTTCTTGATCGCCTCCTAGATTATCTTCAGTTTTAGTCGTGTCCGGTTCCTGAAATCCAAACTCGTAACAGTTTTACCGTGGAAAACAAGGAATTCATTTAGAATATTTTGGTACTTGGACACGAAAACAAAACAGTTGTGAGCGAGATGCATAGAATACGCGTGACAGATATCGATTGTTGCACCATCTATCAACAAGTGTACAAAGTTAGGTCAATGACATTTCTCGCGTCGAGGGTTTTTGACAAAACAAAGCGACTTGGACTGCAAAACTCCCGAAGACAACTAACAAATAGAAATCAAGAACAAATGGGATAGAATTTCCTTGCAAAAGAGCCAATAAGCCGCAGGAAGGAAGAATTTCGACATAATCATAGCCGGATATAGACACAAGCGACTAGTATTTTTTAAAGGATACAACATAAGCACTACAGGAAAATCGCTGGAGATTAAATCCATTTGAAAAAACTTTCTCAGAAAGTTTATTCCACATGAACTCAGTTTTCCAGATGAAAGAGCCGATGTCCTGGAATCCAAATGGAATGGCGAAACAAGTGTGCTGTCGTCAGCAAAGCAGTAATATCGATCAAGCTGAACATTCTAGAAAAGGATAAAAAAAATCTGAGATTGATGAATGGGGGTCTTACAGGAACTCTGTAAACTGCAGATTGGGACAGAGAGGGCTGTGCCTTCGAAATTGCAGACCATTTGCTTTGTGAGGGTCCGCAGATTAAAAATACACAGATGCAACGCTTCCCCTATTAACTTTGATTTTATTTTTGTACCTTGGGAGCTGTCTGACTTGTCCATTTAGTCCAAGTCTCCAGAAAACACTGCAGCGTCTTGGGCTTATTGCGTTTGTTCTCCTATCTTCTCATGGCACCCATTCCATCAGTCTCGTTCCCTGTACTAGTTTGTACAGGTACCGTGTTGTATGTTCGTTATATTCTTCTGGGCGTAATTTTGTACGTCCATAGATAGATAGCATAATTGAAGTACTTAAATGATCCTGAGTATTATAAAAATAGTTTTTCAGGAGAATATTTCTGACTCTGTTTTTGAAGGAGCTTTGTTTGAGCACTTTGAAAGAATTAGGAAGATGATTGTAGAGATCGATATTCAATGAATTTTGAATAGACCTTGTGAGTTTGAACAGATCTGCATTTCTTGTAGCATGATGATGAATATTCTGATGCTGCGAATAGATTGATTTATTTTTAAGGATTTCAAGTAATTGACTATATACGAATACCGATGGTAGTGGTAGTATACCCATTTTGTTGAAAAGCGGCTAACAGTGATCTCTATAATTAGCATTCATCAATATTCTGACTACTTTTTTCTGGAGTCTGAAGATTTCAATGGAGTAAGAGGAATTACCCCACAAAACTATGCAATAATTCATATGTGAGTGGAACGAAGCAAAATATGAACTTCTCAGGGCGTCAAGAGACAATACTCTATGTAGCTGTCGAAAAGCAAATAAACTCTTACACAGCTTCTTACTCAGTTCATCAATGTGTGCATACCATGATAAATTCCGGTCAAGAGTGAGTACTAGTAGTTTGGCAGTATCATCGCCATTTTCAGTGGTTTCAGTATTTGAGGTCGTAAACAAGACCTTCTGGGTTTTGCTTTCATTTAATTTCAACTGATCTGTTATGAACCACAGAGATGCCTGTCTCAAAGTATCATCAGTAATTGATGGTAATTCGATTATGTTTTTCTGAGACGTTATTAGAGTTGTATCATCTGCGAAAAGAACACATTTACCTGGTGACATAAAATGACTGAAGTCATTGAAATATATCAAGAATAGGAATGGTCCCAGAACGGATCCCTGCGGTACACCATTCACACACACACACACACAGATTGGGTTCTGTTACATAAGTACGACTGAAATAAACTGAGTGGTAGTTTCTGAGCCGATCCCTACTATATTGAAGTAGTTCTTCGGTTCTTTTCTCGGACGGTTCCCTAATGAAGGTTCTACTGTGTTTGTTGCCAGGTACTTTTGTCCAGCACTCTGTGTGCTTCTTATTGGTCCATGTCCTAACCTGGTTTCGTACCAATGATTTTGGTATCCCCAGAGCTGGTTCAGGACCTATATATGAAGTTGATAATCCGCATCTAGCGCATTCATCAGCTTTATCATTACCTGTGATTCTTGAATGCCCTGGCACCCAGTACAAAGGTAATTTGTTCCTGTTTGCAAGTTCATTCAATTCTTCATGGCATTCCCAGACCAGTTTTGATGTCACCTTCGGGTTTGTCAGAGTCCCTAGTGCGCTCTTGCTGTCTGTAAAAATTTTGATCCGCTCATTTCTTTGAGGTCTCAATTTAATAAGTCTTGCGCACTGCAAGATAGCATACACTTCCGCCTGAAAGACAGATGTGTATAGTCCTAGCGAATAGCTGTAGTTTACAGCTCCCGTTCCATGTTTAGTCTACGATCCATTTGTATACCAGGCGTTTTTTCCAAACATGTTTTCGGGGGGATGACTAATGGTCTTCCACTTTTCACGGTTTATGATTTTGGCCGTGAAGTTTGTGTTAAAGGTGTACTTCGGTGTCATGTGGTCCGTGCACATATTCAATATGTGCTCCTTTACTTGTTCCGAAATTTCTGTTTGGTCCGATCTTCTGTAGTTCGGTGAGTTTTCCAGTCTGAATTGGCCTATCCTGGCCTCCCCCATTATCACAAAGTGTAAAGGAGGTAGATGCAGGAGTGTCTCCAATGCAGCTGTTGGGGTAGTTCTCATTGCTCCCGTCATTCCCAAACATGTAAGCCTTTGCACCTTGCCTAAACTTTGATGTTAGAATTACCGCTGGTTTTGCCTGGACCTGATTAGCGAAGATTCTACCAGTGAGAGGGCTATCGAAGTGCTTGAAAATATGATAGTCGGTTGACGAAGCTTTGAAGTGTATTGTGGTTGAAATATACCTTCGAAGCTCAATTTATTACATTTTTTTCACAATAGGACTCTGCTGTGATTGTTTGGCCCGGTTGCAGAAAGTTATAACCCCCGCAAAAAAGACCATGGTTCGCTTTTGGGAAGTACTTGGGTCGCTCATCGGTGCCCAACCACTGTCCTGAACAACTCTTGTTGTCGTAGAGGATCCACTTTTCATCACACTCGGTTGACTGGGTAAAAAAGTATGTTTCTGTCATGTTCGGGTTGAATCAAATTCATCAAATTTATCAAATTCAATTTCTTACTTGAATTCTCTGTGGATATCGGAATACAGATTAGTCTGTGGATCATGCTATGTTTGTGTCTGAATGGGTTGGTTTATAGTAAAACCAACGTGGTAAAATAAACACAGTTTTGCAATTTATTTGGCCTGAACGAATTGTTCTTTAAGATAATTTGATTTACAGCCTGACTCCAAGTATGTCCACTCACTTTGTGAAGTTTTCTTCCTTATACGAGGAATTGAGCAAATTCGGATATGCGGTTGGTTACCTCGTTCACGGGCAGACGGGGCAATAACAGACATGTTGTTTATCGTTCGTTTCAGCCTAGTTCGAGGAGTGATACTCTGAAAGGAATTGGATTTTCAATTATGGGAAATCATCGACTTTATGTTGATGATAGACACTGCCTTGCACTGACGAGTGGCCAAACAGGCCGGAATCGGTCTGCAAGTGTGTTCCACTAATTGAAAATCGATTCTGGTAGTAGTTATGCCAACAGCATATGCAGGAATAACTTCAGTGAAGAATCCTACACTGAAACCTGTCGGATTTATTCAACGCCCTTCGTGATATTAGCCAGGGAGTAGTTGTTTTCTGATAGGTGTCAGTCCGTGTTAGGAATCACACATTAAAAGGTAAGACCTCGTTAATCCTTGACTCTCATAAGTTTCGACTTCTTAGGGTTGTCGTTCGTAGGGGTGCGACAGCTGGTTAACGGAAAAACAGATTTAAACAGCTTAACCTACAGTGTCGGTAAGTTGAGACTGCCTGAACGAATTGTTCTTTTAGATAATTTAATTGATTACTCACTTTTTTCTGATCGATTTCCTTCGATTTACTATCGGAAACATTCTCGTCTTTTTCCTGGAAAGCGGCAGCGTCGTGAATTTTTTCTAGTACCTCTTTGCTGAATAGCGGTGATTTCGACAAAACGGCGATATTTTCGGATGACTTAGACTGGTGGAGGGCGTTCAGAGGTTCTTGTGGTGAGTTTTTCTCGCTATCTTGATCTGTTGAGGTGTTGCTGGTATCTCCCATCACTAAAGGAACATGCGGAAACATAATTATTAACGGTTCATGTATGTCTCCGCAAAAATCAATTTTATGTAATACTATTTCGTATTCATTAGAGAGAACAAAATCCGAACTGTTAGGCCGTGGTTTGATATGACATTCCAAAGCAATGAACACATATTAATAATAAATTAAAAGTAGTGTTAATAAAAATTGTTTTAGTGTTTTAAAATAAATAGTGCTCCCATTCACGCCGGTTAAAGGCCGGGGTGAACCGCATGTCCACGTGGGAGTACTGAAGTGGACTCGATATTCCTATTGTATACTTCTCTCATGACGTTTTCAAGACTTTATCCATCTTCAATTCATCATCCATCAATCAATTTGATATTGTCAGTGTAAATAATAATAATAATATCAAATTGATTTACTTCAAAAGACGAATTAAAACTACAAATTATAATAGTGTTTTGAATTTAATATTCTCCTAAATTGAAGACAAGGCAGATACATGAGAACTTTTTGCTGTTTGAAAATCTGGGTATACACAAATACTAAAATAAACGCGAATGGTAGTTCAAAATGAGTTTTGAGAGTTTTATAATCCAGGCACTACAGTGTTACCCCTTAATTAAATTGAGTAGTAATGGTTATATATTCCATATATTATGGTTAAAGACTGAAAAATATTTTCCAAACTCTCTGCGTTTTTCGCCATCTTGAATAAACGACCGAAAACGGATCACGAACTGTTTAAAACGAGTTTTAATGAATCGCTTACTCTGACCGACAAAAATTATATTGGTCAGACTAAGCAAGCTATAAACACTCGTTTCAAAGAACATGCAGCACGTATCCGATTTCGGAGTCAAGAAAAATATGTTGCTGCTCAAGACGCTTCGGAGAACGGCCATAAAATGAATCAAAATCGTTGAGTATGAATTGTCGCGAATATTAAAAGTTGTGAATACTTTTGTCCGTAAATGAAATCATTTGAAATTTTAAACCTGGTATTTCTGATAAATAAATAAGGTTCGGATGTGCAATTGAAGGTGACTCCTCGACTAAAGAGAAAATATGTTTCTCAATTTCCATAAGAGAAATTCATATCTGTTGCTCATTTGTAATCGCTGATATAGTCGTAGGAAGCGGTTGAATAAATATGTGGTTTTTGTGGGTGATTTCATAAAAAATAAATGTAACGCCCATACTGCATGATACGTAAATGGATTTACGTTTGTATTTTTATCACAAATGTTATCAGCTTTGAACAACGGATTGCTATCCTGCATTTTCGTATCGCGTAATAACTGTTGAATCGTTTCGATAAAAATGCCACTTTTGCCATCTTCAGAATAACTGTATGAAATTGCTTTTATCGAAACTATCCTTACAGAATTTCTTTCAACGTAATTTTCCTCCAATAGTTTTTGATTCTTGTATTTCGAAATTAGAAGAACACAAGCTTTCTAATTTGAATATAAAAATGTTATGTTTTTTTCTCTCTATAGGGTAGTAGCAGACAGGTGTAGAAATTTCACAGCTGTCGGACTATTGGTTTGTGGGATAGAACATTTTGGGTGGAGCAACTTCGTGTATTTAAATGAACTTTTTTTGAGCTATTCCATGGTAAAGTTATGTGTCTAACAATATTCTAATAATAGGAACATTGTGTGTACTACTGATTAATCCAGTGTTTTAAGATGTAACATAGTTAATGATACTACATTTTCTTTTCGCAAAAAATGCCCTCATAACCACCAGATTTGCAAATGAAGATTTTTACTTATTGTTATTCCACTTAGTCACAAACATTACATTGAAATTCTTTTAAGATATGTCTTCTCATGACGATATCTGCTATTTTATCGGTGGTGTATAACGTGATGCTGTAATTACACCGTAATTGAAATATAATTGATGAAATAATATTACTAAATCAATCTTTCCGAATAAGTTATAGTAATAGGTTCATAAAAAAATACTCAAGTTATCAATTTGAAATCTTTCCGATTCTTGATATCCTTTATGGTTTTCCACAATGACATATGTTGACACTTTGTTGGTTATTTGTTGTCAATCTGTACGATCCTTCAAGCTACAAAATCTCAAAAAGGTACTCACCGATTATGAAGGAATTCTTGAATGTGGATAGATGTTATGCCGATAGTTTACTTAGATTTTTTATGCGTGAAAAATGAAATTTCTTCAGAACTGCCAAAAACCTTTCAATGATGAAGTTGTCATTTTGGTTTCTAAGATGATTTGCTTTTATTTCGGAAATGTTTACAGTGGGATGCCTGTAAACGTTTACAGAGAGATACCGTGATAATGGCCAATTTAACAATTAAACCTGCCACGGCTTTTAGGAAAATGTCGGCTGAAAAATCTTTGAAATTGTGGTGTTTGAAATCGGTAAATCTACATACAAACAAATCTTCAAATATCCATGTGACTCGAATTGAATGAAGTTATATTCATGAGTGTTGATGTAAATACAAAAATTCATAGGTGTTGACGTCCGGATATGTCGTAAGATAATCGACAACTGGACGAAGAAATCCATCTAAAATGACTACTTTCCGTTATGATCAATTTTTTCTGAAGTTCTACAAATATCGCAAGTTAAAATTGAGACCTCGTTAAGTCTCGGCTGGCACAAGTTTCTATTTTGTCGAGTTGCTTCTTATACGAGGTTAACAGAAAAATCACTTTAAGCAAACATTCGTGTAAGTATATAGTATTTCTACACATTTATCGGCCCTGTTTGTATGAATGAAGAAAGAATATTTGAAAGTTATTCAGTTTACAGTCCTCGCAAATAGTAATAAAAAAATCGGAGCTGTTAATCATATTATACGAATTGTATAACATTAACAGATGCGAATACTTTTCGAGGCCAAGAATGTTTATAACAAAATTGCCAACTTCCTTTTTTCTTATGTCACTTTTTAAAATAGATTTTGATTCGACGGACCTAAAATAAACACTGCATATAATTGTTAGAATGGTATGTGAGACTACTAATGATTATTTCTGAAGGTGATTGACATGTTAATAGTATTTATAGAGACAAATATTCAACAATGAAATTGTTGAAACGTACTTCTTGAAAAAAGGACAAGGATCAATACAGATACGTTATCAATAACTGATAAAACAAAGACAAGAGTTTGGTGACAGATGAATCGGGAGCGTATAGATTGTTTTGTGATTTATGTCCGATGTTTAATATAAGTCAAACTGAAAAACCCAATCAAATCACGCTTTGAAGAACATAGAAACAGTTTCCAGGATGGAAAAATAAGTTTAACGTATCCTTTGTCGCCCTAGAGTCATTAATATATCTAATTCATTAATTCATTTACTTGATTTTCACATAATTTTCATTAGTATGCTATTATTCTTCTACAAGTGAAAAACCAAGACAAAAATCTACGAGATGATGGCTTTCACTCGGTACATGGAAGAGAATACAGCTATACAAACGTGAGTCGAAGTCTAAATTCGACAGTTAATGAAGTATCACTGTAATATATGAATCTAACTTTCACAACCCTCCATTGTGTTTTGATTTTTTTTTCTTTCACCTACATCAGAAGTATGAAAATGGTCTTGTTTTTTTTTATTTCAACTGACAAATCCTATCATTTGTGTGAAGATCCATTGCCCGTACTGCAAGGAAGATGATCTTCTTTACGAAGTAAGACCTCGTTAAACGTGTTAGGAATCACACGTTAAAAGGTAAGACCTCGTTAATCCTTATCTCGGACAGGTTTCGACTTCTGAGAGTCATAGTTACGACCGCATATCTTCTTTATGAAGCATGTGTGAAGATCCACGTATTGTAAGGAAAACAAACTTCTTGATGAAGCATGTATAAAGATCCATCAACCGTACTGTAAAGAAGATGATCTTCTTTATGAAGCATGTGTGAAGATTCACGTACTGTAAGGAGAATGAACGTATTGATGAAGCACGTATGAAGATCCACATACTGTGAGGAAAATGTACTTCTTGATGAAGCACGTGTGAACATCCATCAACCGTACCGTAAGAAACATGAAGTTCTTGATGAAGCATGTGTGAACATCCATTGACCGTACTGTAAGGAAGATGATCTTCTTTATGAAGCATGTGTTAAGATCCACGTACTGTAAAGAAAATAAACTTCTTGATGAAGCATGTGTGAACATCCATTTACCGAACTGTAATAAAGATGAACTTCTTGATGAAGCATGTATGAAGATCCATCAGCCGTACTGTAAGGAAGATGATCTTCCATATGGAGCATGTGTGAAGATCCACATACTGTAAGAAAAATGAACTTCTTGCTGAAGCACGTGTGAACATCCATCAACCGTACCGTAAGGAACATGAAGTTCTTGATGAAGCATATGTGAACATCCATTGACCGTACTGTGAGGAAGATGAACTTCTTGATGAAGCATGTATGAAGATCCACGTACTGTAAGGAAAATAAACGTCTTGATGAAGCACGTGTGAACATCCATCAACCGTACCGTAAGGAACATGAAGCTCTTGATGAAGCATATGTGAAAATCCTTTGGCCGTACTGTGCGAAAATGTTCACATTTGCGCTAAGAATCGCACGTTGAGAGATGACGACTTATTGATTTCAGAATTGTTACAAGAATCGAAACAAAGGATTCGGCAACACTTGCAGTGTAAGTTTCATTGTGGGTCAACTCATTGTAATTGTCTCAACGAAGTTCATCGTAAATCGTGAGGCTGTTTTAGTTCTTCGACGAGTTTTCTCTTTCTTCCTAAAAGGGCATGGCCTGCGTTGAAATAATTCAAGTTCAAGCATTCCTTATTCGAAGTCATGTTGCATGCTATAATTGATTTCTCTCTTTAACGGGTTCCTTATTCATATCGAACACTTCGCTAACCTGAATCGATAACTTTACTGAGTACGTGTTTGGTTTAATACAGTTTGAAAATGTTAGAGTATGATTATAAACATATAATTTTCAAACCGGGAGCCTGGCAATACTTCCTGGCTAATAACAAGACGGATATTGAAGACCCGTCCAGCTTGGGTCTTTGTTGCAATGCGACGTTTCGTTCATTAGATTCCATCGTCAACTTTTAAAAAAATACTAACCCACTGTAATAACAAATTCAGATATGTCTATACATGTGTTTCCCGATGTTTGCGAAAAAAAACATCATATGTAGCTTTGTATGGGGATATGTACCCTAAAATACGTCAACTATCCAAAACATATTTTCAACGCATTGAGAGGAATCATGGTTCATTTGAAAAGAGATGTACAGTAACTAAAAGAGATGGCGATTTTGAACTTGGCGTTTTAGGTAAGTTTAGAATACATTCTCATCAGTAATAAAGTGGTATTTATTCGATTCAGGATTTAAAAACCGAAAAATTGACAACAAAAATGCATCATTGAGAGAGATTGTACATCATAGTGCCATACCAACTACTTCAGTTTGAAAAATTTTGAGAAGAAATAAAATTACGATCTCCACACAAAGTTAACAAACTCCACCATTTGCGTTTAACGGGCTTTGATAGGAGAAAAATATTTTGTAGATGGCTACTCAGACAACATTGTCAGGATAATGAAATTTGCAATAAAATTGTATGGTGTGACGAGAGTAGATTCACAAATAACGGAAGATTCAACAGAGATATTCATTGTCACTGGCGACAAGAAAATTTCTTCCTACATAGAGCTACAAATTTACAAGAGAGATTTTCATTCAGTGTACTAGACACCAATATTATAGGCCCCTACTTTTTTGAGACATCTTTGACGGGAGAATTATATTTGGGATTCTTGTCGGAGACTAGTTGAGTTGTTGAAAGATTTGCCTTTGAATATTCCGAGAAAATATCAGTATTTTCAATATGATGGAGCTCCGCCACATCACAAAACTATTTGCAGATATTTTCTCAATACGACTATGCCAGGACGATGGATAGGAAACAATGGCCACTACGTTCACCTGGCCTGACCCTTCTGGACTTTTCATTGTGGGGCTCCATTAAAGACAAGCTATTACATGGCGTTATTTGAAAGACAAAATCACGGGACAATGGCCCCATTTGAAGAAAAATAAAGTGCTATTGCTTCCGCATCTACCGTATTCTCCAGATGTGACCCTCAACGACTTTTTACTATTCTCAGACGTCAAGAGAATGCTCGACAATTACCCCCATGAAGGTGTTTTTTTTTTTTATGTTAGCCTACGAACTTGTCAGTCCAACTATTATGTAGAATTTCAACTATTTGGAATATTATGAATAAATAAATTTTTATCTCGAGTTATCTTCAGTGAAATAAGTTATAGTTATCCTATACCACGCTTAGGTGTCCTTTCTAATTAAATTGATTTGTCGTCTAGAGTCTAGCTAGATTATTCCAATTTTTCATGTATTGGTCAGAAAAGATCACGAACCAATGTTAGTAGCACATCGTTGTTCTCGTAGTTAATCGGCCTACATATAATCATTTTCGATACAAACGTTGTTCATCAAATAACGATAATCTGTCGTATCACATAAACGCAATGGACTTTCATTGTTAGACATTTTATCGTAGGTTGTGTATATTTTTATCACGTACCAGTGATGCACCAGCACTGTGAATGATCTTATGAGATACTGTTTAGATCGGTCGGTTATATGCATAAAAATGGCTGTTGTTGCTTTCAGTTAATTTCGTACACTCGGTTTTTGTTATTGGTTGATTTTGATCACTTGGTATGTTTAAGTAATTTTTCATGGCATGTTTATACAAAAAAACGATTCTGGCATTAACAAGTCAATAAAAATATCGACTTGAAAAGTTTGATTCCCGGTTTATTTCGTCTTTGAATCAGAGGAATTTACAGTAGGACTAATTCCAAAATAGTAGACACTAAATTCTCGGAAATGACGTTTTTTCCTTAATCTGTCACTTGCAGTGGCGTACGGAAATTATACTGATCAGATGAGGAAAAAATGATGATGATAAAATATTTCGAATCACAACTTCGACAACAATATTTTCGTTTCAATGTAGTGATATTTTCAAATGAAAGTAAGGTAGGTAGAAACCGTAATTTTGATGATGAGATTATTTCTCGTTTGAAAATATTTTTAGTTACTTTTTTGTAATTTATTTTTATATTGCTGGACATTTCTGGACAATATCGAAATTCTGATAAGATAATAATGTTTGGTAAACTTGACACCATTCCTTTAATTTATTACAAATACTATTTTTGGCCAATCCCTTTTTTGA